GCCAGTGCATGTCTATGAGGTTAGAATAGATCCCTCCAGCATTTTACTTGCCTGACTAGTTTTGTTCCACTCAGACAGGGCTTGTTTTTAGTTGGTATGGGGCCGCTCAGCACCATCCGTACTTCCACATTGATTCACATCAGATCAGCATTTCTCAGATGATTACATGGACCATGTAGCAGTGTCTAGGGCAACATAAAAAAATGGTCAGCCTGATTCAGGGCAACAGAAATGCTACAGTAACTGAACCAACCCTTTGATACTCTTCAGCAACCCTCCTCTGTTGTAACCCAGTAGATACAGAAGAAAATCTTTAAATGTATAAAAATATATAAATGCATAATCTTATAGTCTACATGAATATAATTTTTCCTTATCATGACATATAGCCCCATATTACCAGTTAAGAACTTTTTGAATACCAAAGCCAATCTGAGCATCATTCCACACCTACAGGTCCATTTAGTTTGGCACAATTTGTCAGCATTCTACACTGGAAGCTCTTTCTGTACATTTTTTTTGGCCCATAGTCACAGAACATTATACTAAGCTTTGATCAAAGAATCCAACAGGACAAATAAAGCACTTCTTAAAGAAATTAAGTTGATTTCTGTATCTAAAAAATCTAACCTGTCTAGGCATAGCAAATTATCAAGTGTGAACCCAAGTATACTGCCTTTGATATAAATTCAAATTCCTCAGTAAATAAGTTAAATCATAAAAGTGTATCAGCTGTATAAGCCTTCTTTGTGATTGGGTTCTAAATGATTTTGGTCAAAAGAACTCTTTGTACAATTGAAATGCTCCCCTAGAATTAAAACATATTCTGTGTTGCAATTTACCAAAACATTGATTAAAGTTTCTAAAACAAACCCACATTTGTAGTCATTAGGGCTGATTCAGACAAAGAGACAGGAATCACCTCCGACTCAGACACAGGAACATACTTTGCACACTGGAACACAGGAACAGTGGTAATAGACTATGCGGCAAAAGACTTAGTTGTCTCAGTAGTAACAGTTTAGGGTTTATGGTGGCTGATTCCGGAAATTCAGGAGTAAGTGGAATTGGCTAAGACATATCTGGCTAAAAATGAGTGGGTAATAGCTGGCTTGATCATCTTGGACGTGAATGAAGCAGGCTTAACTGGCTCAGGGGAATCTCATCTGAATGCAGCTGACACAGATCATGGGGTCAGACTTGGATGCTGCTTGCTGAACAGCCTGCTTTTTAGCCAGTGGCTTCAGTATTGGACTTGGTCTTGACTTGAAATAGGGAAGGACAGGTTTCTGCTTGTTAACTCAGACCGAGTTGGCATTCCACATTTGGATCCTAAAAGTCTCCCACTTTGGGAGGGGGTCATCTAAACAGTCATTGAAAAGGTCCTTTTACTCCTGATCCGTATAGCCGAGTCCCTTTCAATGGTCCAGAAAGACTGCGCAAAGGTCCAAACATCCCATCTCCACTGCTAATGTGCTGTCAGTACCTCCTGATGGGCAAGTCTCTCCTGACCATTAGTGAGTGGAAGTATGACGATGCTCATTCTGCTAAGTTCAGGTGTGAGATCTAGAAGGAGGACCCAAATGCAAAATTTAGCAAAAGACTTGCTTAAATTACTGATATGACTAGAAAAAATCAACAAAATCAATATAAAGAAACTAAATAACACTTCTAAAAGAAGCCAGTAAACAAAATAAACTAAACATAAAAAATTTAAACATTAAATGGAAAAAATAGAAACATTAAACAGACAACACAGACAGGATATGCAATGCAGAAACCAGACAATAATTACTGTAATACACCAGTTTAGTGTAGAGAAAACTAATGTATTTATTACAGTTTATCACAGTATAGTACACTTTAATAAACTATGGTTTAAAAACACTACAGTATTTACAATAAATTCTTATAGTAATTTTTTCATGTGTGTTTTTTGCAAGTTCTTGATTTTCTGTTATCCCACCACTGTTTCACATGTGCTTACTTTAGTTTTGCCAGTTTATTACTGATACTCTGCTGTATGTTTCTTTATTTCCCTAAGTCCTCCCTCCTGACTCCTGCTTCAGTACGTCTCTGTATCCGTGAGCTTCTACTTAGTCTCCATTGTTGCCACAGTGTCTGGAGCTACACCATCAATAACCAGCCTAGTTCCTGTTGTGTGGGTTGCAGCTGGATATGAAAACTAAAGCAGAAACAAAATCAAGGGATTTTACGTTAAATTTTGGCTGCATAGATAGATATACTGTAACACAATACTCAACTTTGCTTTGGCATGCTGTGCCCGGGAACAGGATAGGCTAAATTTATCCTCACATTTGTTTTACAATGCAGTTCTGCTTTTATCCTTCTCTCCCAAGTTTTATAACAACTGTCAGAGAGTGTGAAGCGCTCAAGAATAACCAGGAGCTATTTTAAGGTTTCTTTCTAAAAGACACAGATGTGACAGAATATAGCCAATGTTTTATTTTTATTTTTTTATATCTCAGTCTTCTTCAAACATATCTAAACAACATAACATTGTGGTGATGGTTCTCAAAATAGCTTGATAGTCCAAGTCCCAGTAAATATAAATTAAGAGTTTAGATGCAAAAACCTCTAAAAGCTATTTGAGATTTTCTTTTAAAATTAGCATTTTTCTGGAACTCTTGAGTGTAAGCTCTGTAATTTTACTTTTATAGTGACAAATAAGCTCTTTTCATTGCCTTTAAAGTGAATAAAAAATTGATTATGAACATAAGAGGCTGAAAAAAAATTCTCATTTTAGAACAAAATTTAGGAAATCAAATTTAAGTCAGCAATGGATATATAATGAGACAGAGTCCGTGTCAGTCATTCAGTTGGAGTGACCAAATCAATCATTTTCCGATTTTGACTGAGAATGGGAGGTTTCTGGATATTCTTAGAAGGACAAATACATATAAGTAAGGCAAAATGTTCCGTTTCATTGTTTCTGGGCAAATGCTGTTAATTGTTTTTTTTCTTTTTTTTTGCATATCACTGTAAGTAAGGTTTGGTGATTTGATCCCAATACACCGCTGCAGGCAGTGTCATTTTTGAAGTTCAACATTAAAAAAAAAAAAAAAAAAGGGAAATTGAAAGGTGTTCCATGCAGAAGGATTGTTGCAAAATAAAACACGTGGATGCACACATGGACACTGTACTGTACTAATGTTGCAAAAGACAATTCAAATGAGAGACTTTGCTTTTTTGTGGCATAACTGCTTATTATATTTCACTTACAATTTGACTATGGAGTTGTTTCCAGAAAGATGTAAATGCCTTTGAAATAATATTTAACTACAGGACTGTGACAGACTGTATAAATGCTCATTAGTGTTTAATTGAACTGTGTTGAATTAACATATACGAGTTTGCATTTTAAATGTATTCATTGTTATTGGTCATCACCTATTATCTAAAATAATGTTCACTGCATTAGAAAAATACTTTAAATAGTTCAGCAACAAGTACATTTTTTTGGTATCCTCTATGCCCACTGAACTTTAACAAAACATAGCTAAAAGGTGTGAAATGAAGAAATAAAAATAGCATTCTCAATTCAAAGAGTAATTTCAAATTAAGCTATCACTAGGCCCACATGCAGAAATGCACATGCAAAAATCTTCAGAATTTTTAGTCTATTGGGTCAAATTATTTTCTTAAGTAAATATATTTTATTCATTCATTTTCTTTTCGGCTTAATCCCTTTATTAATCCGGGGTCACCACAGCAGAATGAACCGGCAACTTATCCAGCATATGTTTCTATTCAGAGGATGCCTTTCCAGCTGCAACCCATCTCTGGGTAACAACCATATACACTCATTCACATTCATACACAACGAACAAGTTAGCCAACCCAATTCACCTGTACCACATGTCTTTGGACTGTGGGGGAAACCGGCGCACCTAGAGGAAACCCACGTGACAGCAGGGACACATGCGAACTCCACACAGAAATGCCAACTGACCTAGCCGAGGCCAATAGTGTCTGGATGCAGCCTTTATGATGCAAGCTGAGATTGTATCACTCAGCGATGCAATGTCAGACACAATGCACTCGATGGAGTGAGTGACGTCACTGTGACGGGTACGGTTAGGAGTGGGGTTAGGTGAGTGTATTAAAAAGCATTGGATGCAGCTCAGATTGCACTGCATCAGGTCTGCATCCAGACCCCTCTCGTAGAGGCTCGAACCAGCAACTTTCTTGCTGTGAGACGACAGCACTACCTAATGCGCAACTGCGTCGCAAATATATTTAAATTAGGTTTTTTATTAATTTCAGTCATTTTAAGTAGGCCAATATGCAAATATTTATATGATTTATTTAATAATTTTTTATATCATTTATTTATTAGTCTTTTAGTAGATGTTAGAGACTTGCTTACCAAACATTGAATGCATTTTTTTAAAATCTTAAAGTTAAAAATCAAGCATTTTTTATTTTAAGTTTTTAGTTACTATACTGCCAAACTCATTCCACAATATACATTTTTACAGGTTCTGGCATTGTACTTTGTGTGTGCAGCATCAGCACCCACCGATGCAGGTAAAAAAAATCTCATGAAGCCTACCATGCTTGCATTCATCTGTATTACGTCCTCAACTGACAACAGAGAAAACGTGGAACTTTATAGTCTAATTTAATAATGTATTCATTGCATTATTTGTTACGTAAAAGCCTCAATAAAACAAGAACAGTGTAGGCTATATCAATCTGACCAAACGATTTATCAAGAACATACTATTTTGTTTAGGAAGAAATGGTTTTTTGATGTCGCCTACTGAAAATCATAATTTGAAAGAATGACAGTAAATAATTGTTCTTCCGCTTCGTTGTTATATACCCTTGGAACCCTTTGGTTGACACAGAACTACAATATCCGGAAGCCAGTGAGCGCAGCCAATGGGCGTGTGGTCACATGTGGTGACGACATTAGTTTGATCTTTTTATGCGCGAACTTGACTTGCATTGAGGTGAGAAAACGGCGCGAGGCGAGCTTTGTTACCAAGCCTGGATCTCTCTGAAGGGTGAGTGTACATGTCTAGTTTTTATGTAGTGCTTAAAATTGGACGCTTTAATCTGTGCACTAATCGCATAACTATTAAAGTTCAGTTATGTAGTTTTATGGGGTAGAATCTACGCAAGTTACAGGATAAAGGAGGAATGTTTGTATGGCATAAAGTTAGCTTAAACAGCGCGTCTTTATTCATTCTAGGCATCACGTTTTTCCTGACACTACGTCTTTTAAAAGTTATTTTGCCTTTTAACATTGTTAACTTCGTCGCAACTTTCAAATTAACCGTCGTGAGGAATGCTAAAGCAGGATAAATATTGTAAACAGTCTTTTTTTAAATAGAAGTTGTAGCTAAGTTAACCAGTACATCTAAATATGTTTTAAAGCGTTGTTTAAATATGTACTTTTTGCGTTGTGTTAATAGTACAATGTTCCCTGTGCGTCGTGTTTGTGCATCCTGCATTGAAGTCCCGTTAACTTGCACGTTATGGCACAGTTCTGGTTGCATAATGTTTGTGTGTGTGTGTGTGGTGGCACATGGAGCTGTAGTATGAAACAAGGCGGAGCTGTGCACGCGGTGCTGCTTGTCCGTCTTTGTTTGGATCTGTTCCCTTTCTGTCTGCAATGAAAGCGCTTTTGTGGTAATGCGTATATACAAATACGTGATTTGCATTTCAATATCGTCGCTCATTCTACATCGGGGCTGTTTACAATTGCATACTTCGTGTAGCGGGAAAAATAAACTTATTTTTCCACGTCTGCCGTTTTTACCGTGCAGGTGGTGTTTTCAGGGGAGGGAGGTGTTTGTGTGTGTCTGTGTGCGCGAGCTTGTAGAATACGCGCCAGTTTTTTTTTTCGTTTACCCCGCGAAAATAAAGCTGCGAACCACCGCGCGCCAAAATTCACAAAGTATTTCTTTTTAAATTTGTTGTTCAAACGTAAAACAGAATTGCGTTTAAATATTTAGTTTTTTAGTGCAAATATCAAAACATAGTATCTGAAGTATTTTGTTGGAAGTCTTTCCCATGCTTATATTTCTTTTTTGTAAAATAAATAAATAATAATAGATACAGTTGCATTTTAGCACAAGACTTTTAATAACATTGTGGATTATATTATCCTGTGGTTTCTTTAAGACACTTGACATTGTTTTCTTTGTTTAAAAGTTATAAAATGTTTTTAAATGTGAAACTAGTCTGCAATTACCATTAGCCTTTATACGAATACATGTACATCTGTCTAAAATGTTTGTTGTTGATCAGCTTTGTGTATGATGCAGCAGTAAACAAGACATGAACAACATTGCATGTAGTAATGACTGATTTGTTTTTTTTTTTCAGGCATACTTGGACCGCTTTTATTTCTCTGTAACAATGGCTGCTACAAGTGGTAAGAACCTCTTATGTTTTCATGATTATAGACTGGATGTTAATCTGCTTGTAATGGACGAGCAAGGAGATGTCCAGTTAATTGCAAAGCTTATTTTCAGACATTCAGGTTAAAGAGCTGGACAAGCGTGCTTCAGGACAAGCATTTGAGGTCATCCTTGGGAGTCCTGCTTCAGATGTCAAGAATGAGTTCCTTCTCTCCCCTCCAAAGAAGAAGGACCTTTCCTTGGTGGAGATCCAGAAAAAACTTGAAGCAGCAGAAGAGAGACGCAAGGTGCAATACACTTTTCATTTTTTTTGTACTGCATACGTTAACACGTTAATAATTAGTGATTTTTTTTTTTTAGTCCATTAATGGAATGTTTTTTTGGCCATTCCATTTGTAGCTTTAATGCTCATAGATAAAAGCATTTTTTTCCCACAGTCTCATGAAGCAGAGGTTCTGAAGCACCTAGCAGAAAAGCGTGAGCATGAAAAGGAGGTGCTTCAGAAAGCTCTAGAAGAAAACAACAACTTCAGCAAGATGGCAGAAGAGAAACTGAACCAGAAAATGGAGGCCAACAAAGAAAACCGTACAGCAATTATGGCAGCTATGAATGAGAAGTTCAAAGAAAAGGTGAAGGCAGTTGTGCATTTTTGAAGCTGGTTTTTGCATTTAAATGACATGTAATTCTAAAACAACATTTTCTGCTTCAATTTTAGGACAAGAAGATAGAAGAGGTTCGAAAGAACAAAGAAACCAAAGAGCACAATGGTGAAGAAATCTGAAGCTTTTGTTTTGTGTACACCTTTTTCCAAAGATATATTTTTGTCTTTCTCCGTTAAAAAGGTTTCATCATGGGCCTTTTTTTTTTTTTGTCAAAAAAAACAAAAAACCAATGCAGCTTTTGTTTTGTGTATATAGCATTAGTTTTACAACTTTGATTTATTATTTTTTTTCTACATCTGTGCTATTTGGACTAGCATTCTCTTTTTCAGATACATTCATAACTTCTGGACTTGGTGGGGACTTGTGTGCTTAACATGCCTGTTACTGTCTGCATTTCTTGAGCTTTTTGCTTTAAGGTTAAGAGCTTGGTTATGTACTTTGAAAGCACTTGACTGTTCTTTGTACAAGACTGAGAAAAGAAAAGATTACCTTGTCGACTTTACTGTACAAAAATAAAAAATAATGTAAAATGAGCGCTTACAAAACTCACTCATTTCTGAATTATACAAAAAAGGCAATACACTTTCAATATTTTATTTATATATATATATATATATATATATATATATATATATATATATATATACACACACACACACACACACACATGTTAATATTAGCAAGTTTAGACCATTAAAAAATATATATATATATTTTTTTTAAAGAACGTTTTGGCAATTTGTATTATTCCAAGGATGTAGATGAGTTTTTATTTTAATTTCTTTAAAATTAAGTATCCATCGACACGAGTAGGCATGGCTGGGATTGTGTCTCCCTCTAGTGTAGGGATTTTTCTTTTTTTTCCCTTCTCTTCCCTCACATGTGCATTTAACTTTGGAACTTAAAATGGATAGTTCTACTGAAGAGGGTTCTCCCAAGTATTTTCAAACATTTAAGTTTCTTTTGTTGAAAGCAAAGGTTTTGATAAATAATAAACCTTCGAAAAATTATCTAACCTTTGGATTTCCATAGGAAAAATAAGTAGGTTAACCAGTTGTAACCCTCCCAAGATTTGTTTTTAAATAACTGTTCTATAATGGTAGGGGCAGGAACTCTAAAGGGTTTGATACAATGAAAGTTAATTATATACAAAAAATATCTAAACCTCTAAAATAAAGCTTTAATTTGACATTTTTAATATAATTTTAATCCACAACTTTTATTTTGCATGGAAAAACGTTTTGAATATTAAACATTGATTAAAGTAAAGTATATTTATATTCTATAAGTAAATGCTTAAGTGTAAAAAGTTTTAACAAGATGCTATTTATAAAAGGTAAAGCAGCAGGTTCTTATTTTTGTCTGTGTTTGGGTGAAGTCTGCATGCATGTGACATTAGGTGTTTGGAGTGTAAATGGTTTTATAGCTGGTGGGTTAAAATGGACCCAAAGGACATCTATTATACCATAAATGTGTACTACCTTCAAGGAAATATGAAAATAGCTAATGTTTTTTGATGTTGAGGTTATTTTAGAAAAAAAAATTAAATGGTGCAACCGTAATTTGACTTGTAAATTAAATGAATCAAACTGATTGACCCACTAGAGGGAGCTTTGCTCAAGCTATTCCAATATATCAGCAGAATGCCTAAAACGCTACAGTTCCTGATCTGTTCATTTGGCTGTTGAGTTTATCAGCACATTTTCACGATTTAGAGCCTTGTTGAGCCTTTTAAATGATCTTTAAAATAAATTCCCATTTCTTGCATCAAACTGCTGTGTGGTAGTATTAGAAAAAACATCCAATACATTTTATGACATTTCTCTTATTCTGTGTCGTAACACAGAGGTCAAAGGCCATACTGTTGCTGGGTGATTAAGGTCAAAGCTGCTATCACTTCTGGCTTGGAGGCAGTCATAATAATGTCTTGAACAGACCCTGGAGCAATTGAACCAAAGGTTATAATCAAAGCAGACTGTCACTTTAGTCTTGTTTGGGCTTTTTTCCAGCCTATTTACCTTTTTGCCGTTTACTCTGACAGAAGACCTTTCAGAGGTCCTCCCAAAAGCTGACATCCCTTCAGATTTCAATGTGTAAAGGTCAATTCTTATACATTCTACTGTCAAGTCTTTAAAAAGAAGTCAAGTTGCTGTTATATGTCTCAAATGGAGATGATGATGATGATGAAGAAATAACAACTAAAGTTGACATTAATTACATTTAATGACAAGAACAGACTTGTGATAAATGAAGTTTGTGGTCAGTGATATTTAGTATGGGTGTTGAACTAGTATAGAAGTTAAGGTTAAAAATGATAAAACAAAATAATGAGGTGGTTGGAAGATTATGAAAAATACCCATAATATTAATACTAATAATACATTATAAGGGTGCATCTTTGTTCTCTGTGATCATGGCACAAGTTAGATCATGACTATTCCACATGGTCTGCGTCATTGAGAAGAGGTGCTGCAGGGCCTGGGGCCTGAAGTGCAACCACTGTCCACAACACACATTTTCTCTTCCTGCATTAAGTTCTAGCATATTTGTGTCATATTTTGTCACGTGTCAAAAAAATGACATGCAGCGTGAAAACGAGCCTAGTGCATGGTCCAGGTCACACTAACCCTACAAGTGTGGTATTTATTAGGGCTGCAACAAAACACTTTTCACACTTCTGTTTGGTTTTAGGTTATTTTTTTTACATGGTTCGGTATATGAGATGTTCAGTAAAAAACAAACTGTCAAACAAAAATGCAAGCAAAGTACTATACAACATGAATGCAATATAGCAAACATAATACTAAAGTAAAATAAGCCGTTATTTTTAGGTTTTCATGTACTTAACAGTAGTTTTCTGGTACATAAATTGAAAAATATAATCAAATAACACTGCATTCTGTATGTAATCGTCACTGTGTAAATTAAATAAACAAAGGTTTATCATTACTGAGCTATATAGCTATTCAGTCAAGAGTGATTCATTATTTTAGTTTTTTTGGCATGATTGGGATGCAGTACAGATGAAAATTTATCATGTTTATGTTGCAAGGCATAACTATTGGTCAAATTTGATTCTTGCTGTTGATAAGCAAGCCTTAACTTGCACGTCATAACACTTCTCAGATCTCCTGCATGAATCCCACGCGCTGACATGTGGCTTAAGTTCATTTTCATGTGAAATCGTCTCCTTGCTCACTGACAGACATTTACTCCCAAAGAGCTGTGTTTCGGTGCATGGACATGAATTTTGACAGGCACATAGCAGTTCAGAGAGTAATTAAAGAAATGGGGCAAACGCAAAATACAGTTTTTACATTTTAATGCAAAATCGACAAACTACTATCCATGTTTATTGAACCATGGAGGTTGCACCGAACAGTTCAATATTATACCAAGTATTGTGGCATCCCTAGTATTTATGCTTATTTTCATATATTGTATTAGTATATTTTCAGCATTTGATCATTTAAATATTAGTCAATGTTACTACTGTATGTCTTCCCAAATCCCTTCATCCCCACTTTATGTTTTGTTACAGGTGTATTGTTGAAGATGGCTTCAACATGGCTTCATGATTGGTTGAAGTTTATGAAAGATTAAACCAAAATAAACAATAAAAAATCAAATTTTTTATTATCAAATATCTTTATATATTAAATGTGTCATACCACAATATATTACAACTTGTTGTGACTTTGACTTGTCATTACAAAAACCAAATTATTGTGCTTTACCACAATCCCCAAGGTCTCTCTATAATTTAAACTGCTCTATTTATTAACATTTTTTTTTCAACAAACATAAAAAAACAAGGGCTGCACAGTGGTACAGTGTAGCATGTTCGCCTCACAGCAAAAAGGTCACTTGTTCGAGCCTCGGCTTGGTCAGTTGGCCTGTTTTTCTGTATGGTTTCTGTATGGAGTTTGCATGTTCTCCCCTTTTTCCTGTGGGTTTCCTCCGGGTGCTCCGGTTTCCCCCACAAGTCCAAAGACTTGCTGTAGGTGATTTGGGTAAACTAAATGGTCCATAGTGTGTGTAAATAAATGTGTTTGGATGTTTTCCTGTGATGGGTTGCAGCTGTGTAAAATATATACCGGATAAGTTAATGTTTCATTCCGCTATGGCGACTCCAGATTAATAAAGGGACTGAGCTGAAAAAACAAACAAACAAGCAAATGAAAGCATATGCACACACATACATACATACAGTTGAAGTCACAATTATTAGCTCCCCCTTATTTTTTCCCCAATTTCTGTTTAACGGAGAGATTTTTTTCAACACATTTCTCAACACAATAATTTTAATAACTTATTGCTAATAACTGATTTATTTTATCTTTACCATGATGACATTAAATAATATTTGACTAGATGTTTTTCAAGACACTTCTATACAGCTTAAAGTGATATTTAGAGGCTTAACTAGGTTAATACGTTTAACTAGGCAGGCTAGGGAAATTAGGCAAGTTATTATATAAAAATGGTTAATTCTGTAGACTATTGAAAAAAATATAGCTTTAAGGCGATAATACTATTGTCCTTAAAATGGTGATTTAAAACTGCTTTTATTCTAGCTGAAATAAAACAACTAAGACTTTCTCCTGAAGAAAAAGATATCAGACATACTGTGAAAAATTCCTTGCTCTGTGAAACATCATTTAGGAAATATTTAATAATAATAATTATTAACTATTAACTATAATAATTCTCACTTCAACTTTACATGTGAAAAAACAAATAATATCATCACCTTGGAATTATAAGGTTCTATCTGCTTTCTTAATGATTTTGAGATATTGAGCTTTCAAGCTTTAAAATGTGTGTAGCATTTGTTTTTTAAATAAGGAGTCCTAAACTGTAAACAACTTTAAAAAAAAATCCCATAATCTAATTATTGGTTGTAATAGTTAAAAGTTGTCATTTAATAAGAATATGTAAAAACCCTATTTTGACAAAAAAAAAAAAAAAAAATGTGAAACAGAACTTTATAATTCTAAGGTGACAATATGCTACATTAATAATAATTATTATTATTAATACCCAAATTAATAATACTACATTAAGAGATCTGAATGACATAAAGGGTTTTATCACTTAATACCCAGATGAATCGTATCCATAGGTTTCAAACTCAATTCCTGGAGGGCCCACAGCTCTGTACAGTTTTGCTCCAACCTTATTCAAACACAGCTAATCCAAATAATCAAGTGTTTAAAAGAGTCTTGAACACCTTGATTAGCTGCATCAGCTGTGTTTGATTAGGGTGGTAGCAAAACTGTGCAGATCTAATCTATGATCTATCTAATCCACTTGTCCCCCCACATTGGCAGCTTATTTTAATGAATTACACATATAGAATTTTTGGGGTTTTACACACTGTATATTGTTATGGGATAATTTTTTTTTGTATATTTGAATAGTCAACATAAATAAATTAGTATGTGATCTTTTTTTAATTATAGGCTCAGTTCTTTCTTGCAGGGGGTTAATGCTCAAGAGCAGGCTTTTTATATTGCAGATTAAAAAGTGG